ATAACAGGGAAATCCCAAGCAGCCGCTTTATCAAACACGCTCATGCGAAGCGAACCATCATACATATATATATATATATATATATATATATATCGTCAAATAGAACTGCCCGGTAAACCGTAGGCAGAGAGGGAGAAGAGGACAACAAATGAGGGGCTGTGACAAACTGTTTCGTCGGAGTTTCACCGACTCATATATATATATATATATATATATTGTCACAAAACTATTGACTAAGAGTGCAAACACATGAAGTAGAAGAAGAAATACGATGAGCGAAGAAAAGAAAAAATGAAAGGACAGACAGGCAAAGAGACAGACAAACCAAAAAGACAGAAAACAGTGTCTTCTTCTTCTTTGTTTTAGTGTATTCTTATTTCTTTCAGTGTTTTATAATTTTTTTACACTGAACAAAGGATAAAAATCGACAAACAAAGACACATTGAAATCATTCAATTTCTCAGTCTTCTTAACTCCTCCACTGCGCCTCTCACGTACAAGGCTCCCCACGTTGATGAAGTTGCGCGCGAGCTGCCCCCATCCCCGTATGCCATAACAGCCCACTTGCACATTGTGGGAAAGAGGCAGAGTAAAGGGAGAGGTGTTAAACACAAGGAAGTGAGGAGCAGAAAAGGAAAACCGATAGGCAACAGGAAGGTGACACAACTCGTTCTTTCTTTCTGTATTCTTCTTTCTTTCACAGTTTTGCAGTTTTGGTGAAAGGTCTACCACGTTCGCTTTTCAGCGCACCTGCACTCCTCCTTTACTTTTTATTCTCATTTTCACCCTTCAAATGTTTCTTTGAGGGTGTTAGGGTGCAGGGTACAAACAAAGTAAAATGACACAAACTTCTTCTTTCTTTTACTGCATTCTTCTTTCACTGTCTTGCAGTTTTAGTGAAGGGTCTCCCACTTTTGTACACTCTTTTCAGCGCACCTGCACCTTTTTGTTGTTAAGGTGCAAGGTACGTCTGAGTAAGACCCTCACGACGGATAGGACAACTATCATAAGGATGCGGGCGATGGTATATATATATATACATATTCTATGCATGTACATAGTGTTTTATAAGACGCAGATACAGCACATTGCTGCAGGTCTGATCAGATCAACCTGGGAACTAGTGTGGACTCTCGGGGTATACCACAGCAGGCTAGGCCTTGCATGCATGAACCTTCCAGCAAACGAGGTCAAATTCGCGCTGGATGAAGCACACAACAGCATCTATGAACACGACAACATGGGGAGGGTAGATCATTTATGAAGGAAACAACAGGATAAAAGAGTCATTGACGACCACTACCGATAGTGATGCTCTTCTCATTCTCTGATCTATCATCTCAACACGGTAGGGGAGACTGAAAAAAGGGGGGGGGGAGGAACACGGTAGGGAAGATGGTGATCAAGGGGGCTTATGGTGGAGGACAGGCAAGGGTAGGGCGAGGGTAACATACCTAGAGAAAGGAGGATAACCAACGACTGACGACCTGCCCGTGTGTTTCTCCTCAGCAGATTGGTCAGAAGGCTGCCCCCAGTTCCCTCCCTCCCTCCCTCCCTTCCTTCCTTCCTTCCTTCCTTCCTTCCTTCCCTCCTTCCTTCTGCCGTTCCGCCGAGAGCTACCTGGATGTGTTGGTCGCAAGCAGTGCTTTCAGACCCTTCAACCCGTACCTGTGCATATTGCTTCACAAAAGGCTGCCGAGATGCTGCATCGCCGATTTGGTATGTGAGATGTGTGGGTTAAGTGTGTGTTTGTTGAGACACAGAAACACACAAATGAAAAGCCATACATCAGCAAGATCTCTCTCTCTCTCTCTCTCTCTCTCTCTCTCTCTCTCTCTCTCTCTCTCTCTCTCTCTCTCTCTGTGCGATAGATCAGCACCAATCTTGAAACCTGATTGCTTGGCCGGTAACTATTATTAATTTATTAGACAATTATGCCTCTTGCACTAACCATTGCATCACACAATTATGTTTTTGTACTCTGGCAGCTTGTGTATCTGTGCATGTTTTGTTTTGCTTTCTCTTCCCACAGCTGCATTCTTGGTAGGCATACTCACGCTAGGACTTCCAGGACGTATTCCACAAGCTGTAAATTGTCTGTGCGGGCCCTTCCCCGTGGTGACTGTGAGATTCGAACCATGCACAGTCACCACGTGGACGGGCCCGCACAGACAATTTACAGCTTGTCTGTGCGGGCCCTTCCAGGACGTATTCAACAAGCTGTAAATTGTCTGTGCGCCGTGTGCGGGCCCTACCACGTGCATCACGACAAGCCAGAAGATCAAAACTCTTTAAACAAAAGAAGAAGGAAAATGACACACATCACACACACACACACACACACACGCACACGCAGACGCAGACGCACACGCACATGCAGACGCACACGCACACACACACACACACACGGAAAATGACAAACATCACAGACACACAACACGAAAATCTTAAAAAAAAAAAAAAAAAACGGATCGGAGCAGTCCCATCCACGAGCCGCCCCCCATCTAATGGCCCAAAGTGGATAAGCAGCAGCCCCATCCATCGACTCGAAGAGAACCAGCGGGCCATCCCTCTCCGGCACTGGTGCTGTAGTTGTACTAAAAAAGCATGCACCTGGACACTTTCGGTGGCCAGGTTCATGCTATGGAACCACGAACATAGCAGCAGTGGAAATTGGCCCTCATTGACCCGTAAATGGCTCATAGTTGCTGTATTAAGAAAAATCCCGAACAGGTTCATGGTCCATAAGCACGAGCATGACATCAGTGGGGCCTGCCCCTCGTCAGCCTAAAAATGGCCAGGGATGGCATCCGTGAACATACCCCACTGCGGCCTCAGAAGTTGTACTAAGAAAACACGAATCTGGCAGCTTTTCAAGACCTGGTTCAAGCTCTGCGGATTCATCAGCCTGGCCCAAAGTGAACCTCTCTCCAGAGCCATCCACCCGGCGGCCCGAAGTGGACCCGAAGAGCCATCCATCGCCGTCTCTCCCCGAAGAGAACGAATGGTCATCCCAGCGGTGGTCCCCACCGCAAATTTCAGGCCACAGGCAGCTGTAATCACCACGCCTTCTATTCGGAGGACGAGCATAGGCCAACCAACGATGGACGTTGTGGCCATCCCAATGATCCGAGATGGATTAACAAGGGCCATCCATCGGCCCAAAAATGGCCATCGATGCCATCCATCGCCCCCAAAATGGCCATCTGCAACGTCATCCATTGGCCAAAAATGGACATTGATGCCATGCATCAGCCCAAAAACAACCGTCGATGACATCCATTGGCCAAAGCCAATGTCATCCATCGCCCCAAAAATGTGGCCTTCTGCAGCATCATTCATCTGCCCCAAAATGGCCATGTGTAGCATCATCCATTGGCCCAAAAATTGATATTGATGCCATCCATTGGCCCAAAAATGGCTATTGATGCCATCCATCGGCCCCAAATCAACCGTCGATGACATCCATTGGCTCAAAAATGGCCATTGATGCCATCCATCGCCCCAAAATGGCCATCTGTAGCATCATGCATTGGCCCAAAAATGGCCACTGATGCCATCCATCGGGCCAATAACAACCGTCGATAACTAACATCCATTGGCCCAAAAATGGCCATTGATGCCATCCATCGCCCCAAAAATGGCCATGTGTAGCATCATCCAACCACATGTTGAAAAAAGAGAACCAAAACAAAAACAAAAGAAAAGATGAATTACCCCCCTTCACACAATTGCCCCTCAGCTAAGCTATAAATAGAAACAAATAAAAAACAAGAAAAACGATAAATTACCATTCACACAATTGCCCCTCAGCTAAGCTATGAACAAAGAGTGGCCAGACCGACTTGCCCGGCCGGGCAAAAAACAAATTACAAAATTTTCAAAAATTACAAAATTACAAAAACTACAAATATTATTTGGCGAAGAATTTTGATTCGACCTTTGAGGCAAAAGTTGTCCAGTTTGTTTTTCTGCACAACATTATTTTCTTTCGAATTTTTTGCATTTTCCTTTTCTCTTTTCCAGGGGCTTTCCCTGTCCCTTGCCCGGCCAGGCCGCCCGGGCAACCAAGGTGACCCGGGCGGCCCGGTTAGTTGGTAACGCAGCACTCTGCCATTTTCCGAGAGAGTGTTGGCCCAAAAGTGTGGATCCGTCAAGTCAGCTCCCACTGCTCCCAACGTCTCTCCCGAATAGAACGGGCATGGTCACCATCGTCCCGACGATCTCCCGCCATTTCACACAACTTAAGATTGAGATTGAGAATATAAGGTAATCTCAGTGAACAGCCCGAATAGAACGCGCATGGCCATCATCCCAACAGTTTCCCGCCAAATACACAGTTGCAGGAGTTATAGCCCCAAGAGCTCAACACGAACCGAACAATCAATGAAAATGGTGTTATTGCATACCAGGCAGAGTCAGGTTGCCCAGACATGACATCGATATATTATGAGAAGATCGATCGATGATTAGATTACATCGATATGATTAGACGATTACAGCATTGATGACATTACAGCCATGGTTGATTTCTCCACACGCTGTAGGCATGACCGCAGGAACAAGAAGAAGGGAAAAGAACAGAAAGAGAGCCACTTTCGGCTGGGGGGAGGGTGGAAGGGGGGAAGGGAGGGAGTGTGTGTGTGTGTGTGTGTGTG